TCCCGGAGCCCTCCGCGGCTGAACTGGGCCTTTCTGGCCCGTCTGGATCCGCTCCAAGGGCGGCCGAGCCGGGTGGGTGTCGTCGTGTGCCGTCACCTGCCGGGGGCTGCCCCTCGCCCTCCTCCCTACCGCTGGGTAACTGCCACGGCAGGTGGCACCTGCACCCGCCGGACAGAAACGGGTGTTTTGGGGGCACTTAATTTCATGTTTTAACTTTCAGCCTGGTTCGTTGAAGTGTCTGAGCTAGGTACAGCTGGCCGGTGAGCTCTGTGACCAGGGCTTTCCTGAGAAGGAGATGGTCTGTCGGGGTGAGAAGCGACTTTGGTACCAGAGCTCTCCCGTATGAAACTGAAGGCCGCGTTATCATCCTGCCAAGAGGCACTGCCTGGTTTGCATATCAATGCTCAGGCTCCAGCAGCCGGAATTCCTTGCTCGTTCCTATCTCTCCTGCTAGAGATAGAAGCTATTTGTGCCAAGTTCAGCAAGGCTAGAGACTTGCAGCAGGGCACTTTTGTTTGCGTCTTGCAGGTGAAAGGAATGCAGATGTTTGCCTTCCTCTGCATGTGATGGGTAGTTTGAGGCTCTGGTTTAATACATTCTAATTTAGTTTAGTACTGTCTGTTTAGTTTCAGCTTCTGGATTTTTGTGCCAGGCTAGAAAGCATTAGAAGGTAATGAATCAGTGGACCAGCCAAAGGCCTGTATGGACAAGTTCTCCTTTTATTTAAGAGGGTTATGTCCGGTAGGAAGGTTTTATCCTGTCATTATCAGCCTGAAATTAACTCCTGTAAGAGCTTGTATGTACGAGAGGTACTTGAGAGAGTTAATGAAGTCGCACTGATGCCTGAAGTATGGACTGGTCTGTGCATGTTATGTTTCCAGCTTGTGTATCAACCACCACTGACACTGCTGCATATGTTCGGGATTGTCCCAAACTCCGTGGCGCAAGTCTAGATTGTGCGTAAGTGCAGCAGCTGTGTTTCCATCCTTTCTCTGGTACCTGGGGCAGCCTGTGATGCTCCTGCCCCTAGCAGGCATGATCAAATGTCTGGAATTGCCTTTTCTGAGCTTCCATTCGTTCAGTGCTTCTCTGTGTGCAGGACTGAAAAGGAACTGCCAGGTCACGTTCAGGCTCCTGCAGTTGTTTCTCAGTTCTACATGCTGAGCCAAGAGGAATGCTGAACAAAGGTCTGTTTTGTGCCCTTCCTGCTCTTGACATCCTAGCCTATCTTTGCATCCTATTGCAAGCTTAACTGCCCTGCACGTCTGTGTTCCTTCTACGTTAGCACCATGCATCCCCTCTTTATTAAAAATAAGAGGTAGGAAGAGCTGGCCTGGGAGAGCGAACGCCATTGGTGTACACCAGGTTCACTGCTGTAATTTGCCTTGGTTTGCAGATTCTGTCAAGTGTGAAGAAAGTAGAATTGGCTGACGTGCAGTAGTGCTGTGCTGGCTTCCTAGTCATTAGGAGACTGTAGCTCGACATGTCTGTGGGTTGTTGGGTTTGTTGGTCTGTGCTGCTGTGCCTCGTGGAGTCAGCGTGCTGTATGCTCAGAACACAGCGGCTGAGCCACGAACAGTGCTAGGCTCCTGGTGGCCTCAGTAGGTTTATGCAGCTTCACCTCTTGTCAAGTCAGGTGTTCAGGATTTGCAGTGAAATTAGTTGGTTTTAGGCGGTCTTACACATCAGCTCAACCATCTCACTGCCCCTGGGGCAATGTAGCGCTTCTGCTTTTGACTAGCTGTCCTTCACTGGTTTTATGTGTGAAAAGCTTATGAGCAGAGATAAAAAACCATAGTTGTATATTTGTGGGTTTTTTTGTCTTGTTTCTAAGGAATGTTGACAGGTTACATTTTCTGAGTTTCTTCTCTTCTCCTACCTGTGGAAGAATCACTGTAGGTTCTCTTGAGATGATAAGAACATAACGTGCAACATTTCTTGTTTAAACTTGTGTTGGGGTCTTCTTGCTATCAGGAATAGAATTCGCTTACCCTCTACGTAACCTCAGTTGATGAGGTGCCTGAGCCAGGGGAACCTGGCTGAACCAGAGAGGTGTGGGAATCAGCTGAGAAAATGTAGTGACTTTGTAACTTATGTTAAACTTTTTGTATCGGCTCTGGTACAAGGAATTTGCATGAGTATAATTTGAACTGGCTTCTTAGCTGATTTAGCTTAACCGGTACAAGAGGTTCAGTGAATACTCTTTTTCTGTCAGAATAGCTTATTTTGGGTCAGGTAAACAAATAGAACTGGTGTGTTTCTACAAAAAGCAGCAGAGTGTTAATTTTTCCTTATTTTATGAGGATAATTGAAAAAAGTATCTTCAGTTGGACCCTGATAAGTCTCCTGCAAATGAGCTGAGTTTAGTCTGTTAGTTACCTGTTCACACCATGCCTCACACTATGGGAAATCATGCTTTATTTATGTGCAGAACATTTAAAAAACAACTGGGTAACTGCTTTCAACTTGCTTTGCATGGTGGAAATGAATACAGAAATATAGCAGGAGATGATGGAGAACTTATGTCAGGCTTCTAAGGTGTAAAATGAGTGGACTTTTTCCCCATAAGTGCAAATGATGATCTGTAAATGGTATAATGCTGATTTCAATACTGAATTAAAGTTGGGTGAAATAGAAGCACTTGCTTATGGATACATACATGTTACTGTTGAGTAAGTTGAGGGTGTGAAGTTCAATAGCATTCAGCATGGCTGCTGCATTAACTGTGCCCCCATTTTCCTTGCAATAGGAAACAAAGCTAGTCTTCCTTGCCTAATTAGGTAGGTGATGCTGAGTGTTTAGCTTGGACAGTTACTGTGCAACACATGATGTGCTGCAAGCTTATGCCCCAGTTTGCCTTGGTGTAATTTGTACGTCAGTCACTGCCACAAAAGAAATTTGGAGAACATACAGGAGATACGATATATGTATATAAAGTCTAATGCTTCATGATCTCATGTGATGCCTATCTGATGTGACAAGCTTCTGACTTTGACAGAAGTGTCCTGGCAGTTTGGGCCCATAGCTCTGAATAGCAAAACAAGAAAACATCTGGTCTCTGTTGTTGTTTTAGAAACACTGGAAGGCTAATTAGTTGCATAACCACTCGTATATAATAATATGTACAGTGAGCTCAAATAAGTACCAGAAACGTAGGGTTGTTTGACTGTTGTCTTGTAATGACCTACCTACCTATGTGGCTGAGGCTGCACTGGAGTTACTTGCCCTAATACCTGTCAAAATGCAACTTGCTAATTTTGCACCTCTTTATTAAGAAGTGCTAATGCCCTGTTTGCTGGTATGTGCTGTGGTTTGTTTGTGCCTAAAAATATGTTCTTGAGTGACAGAACAAAGTTCCTGCTTATTGTCCTAATTGGGGGCGTTAAAGTGAGCTGAAGCTGCCAGGGAAACAATTACTTTGATCTTGAAAGAAAAGGTGATGTTATTGTTGAAGCAGCAGGGTAGAAGTAGGTTAAATTTAATGTGCTGTCTTTCTCTTTTTGCAGTGTGCAAGTCACTTTATCTAGACCTACAGCTAAGAATTAATGTGGCTGTTGTGAACAAGTGGAACAGATGTTGGGTGCTCTTGGACTGGGGGCATGTTTTTGTGTGTTTGGTTAGTTGGAGCCTCTTTTATTTATACCATAGAAATTCCAGCAGTTGCAAGTTGAGAGCATGTTTGGAAATTGAACCACTGTTTTAACTACACAGCTGAGTGAAGATGTGGAGCGAGTATCTGAAAACCCAACACATGAGAGAGAAGGAGAGATGGAAGTTCATGAAGATGCCAGTTCTGTTATTTTACCAGGTGAGAACTATTGACCCAGAAATGACCAATTTTAAGTACCTGATAAGTGGCTTCTGTGTGTGTGTTTGGTTGGGGTTTTTTTATTGCATTTCTGAAAGCAAGCAAAACACTAAATTACTTATTTTGGGGAATAAGTACTAATAGAAAGTCAAGGAGTTTTTCTAAGGGTTGAGATGAGAACATTTCTTTGTCATGAACTGTGCTCAACTAAAGAAGTTTCAGCACATCTGGTTTAGAGATAGCTTAGTATGTCATCTTCCTTTATGATGTGTCTTACCTGAGTTGCAGTGTCTGTGATGGCCGTGAATTGCAGGCAAAGTCTGTGCCAGATTTACACGAGCAAGATGCAATATTGAACAGATGTGCTTTTAAACAGATTTTGGTTAGACTGTTCGTACCTGCTTTTGGAGAGTGCGGGGCAGTGTCACATGGGCTCATTGCAGCTCCGATGTAGTCATTAAGGTACGCCAACCTGAAACAGTATTGACTAAATGTTTTGCATCTGTTTAAGACATACTTGTTTCAGTAGTGCAATTTTCTATCTATTAATGTCCTGATTTCCTTGGCTGCCATCTCCTGGCACGTAACTTGGGAGCACATGTGTGACCATGGACCTTTGTAAGAGGTTATGTGTTTGGTAGGATTTACTGAAAGGCTGGCGTTTGCTGTGGTAAGGAACAAACACCAAACCGTGCTGTTATAGTTGAAGGGCAGAGTGTAGCATGGCCTGACTCGTTACGTTACACTACACAGAAAAGTCAGCATAAAATATGCCTACTTATCTCCTTTCATATGTTGGGTTGTAATGCTCCTTTTGTGTGTTCAGTTATGTATCACTCATGATCAAAATATGATGTGTAACTCAGGAGTACATGAACTTTCTCCTTACGAGTATTGCCAAAAGAAATGGCGAATGCAAGGAGTATGGGGAAAGCAGTGTCTGTGTACAAGTGAGACCAGTGTGAGGATTTTCAGATAATAAGCTTTGAAGGCAAGGAGACTATGAGAGAATCGGGTTGGTCTTTTTCTAGCTATAATTGGAAGAATCCTTTTGTGAAATTTATGTGGTATGCACAAGGAGTCACAAACTAGAGTCCAAAAATGAGAGGGTAACAAATCTAGCGACTTCTACTGTGGTGGACGTGCAGTGCAGATAGCTGTGTAAGAGCATTAGAATATTAAATCTCTCTGCTGATGCATATGCTGAGTCTATGAGAATCACTTCAGACTGGGAGGGGGGGAAAGAAGTTGTTTTTTCCAGGAGGAAAGATTGGCCATCAACAGACTTTTTTTCTTAGGAGCTTTGAACTTTGTTTCTGAGTTATCCTTGGAAATAAACCTTGTTTCCTGCCTGCCGTGTCCTTGAGCAGAGTGCCAAATTCAACATGTGAAAAAGAGGCATAATCTCTGGATGATATGCCTCATGCTTGACAAGGAAGCATCTGTCTGACTGATCATCAAAACTAGCAATAGTTGTGGGTTTTTTTTAAATCAAGCTGAGTTTGAGGCTTACTTTCCTCTCAAGTGATTGATCTTTAAATGAGCACTACATACATTTAGCCCAAGTATCTGTAAAGTCCTAATCCATACTCTGTTTGGTTCCAGATAGCGAACTGGGTACCACTGCCCCTTCTTTGCGTTTCAGCAAGACCTGCCTAAAGAATGTTTTTTCAGTAATTCTCCTGTTTATTTATCTGCTGCTCATGGCTGTAGCTGTGTTCCTTGTCTACCAAACCACCAGTGACTTCAGGGAGAAGCTCAAGCACCCGGTGATGTCCGTCTCTTACAAGGAAGTGTCCTTGTATGATGCACCTGGTAAGAGTGGGAACAAACAGAATGGGTTAAGTTGTTGTTCACATTTGTCTTAGATTGTTTTAAATTTTGGGTGTTGGTTCTCCAGGGCCCAGAGTGCGTATAATGCTTTGACCCAGGTATTTCACTTTGTCTTTTTTAATCTATGTTGTGTTGACTTTGCACGGAAATGTTAATATTGTACGGGAGATTTTGGGAACTTTCATGCCAATAACATGAATGACAGTAGCTGTGGAGCATTATGCAACATTTGATAGATAAGAAGTGTTTTCAGACTCTAGAATGGGTCCTCTTTTAGAGAAAGGAGATAATTCCTTATGAAAATATTCCCAAAACTGTGTCATTCAAACAGGGTAGCACATAGGATGTGTATCAGGACCTCAGTGCTGCACTGGACAGTGAGATGCTCCTGACTGTAAAGAAGGTGAATTTCTCAAACCAACCACAAAATAACCACAATACCACTTTCTGCTTCTGTTCTGTGTTGTTTACAACTTGGTATTACATCAGTAGGCAATGAAAAAGTGATGTGACTGGAGGGAACAATGTTGGCGTAAAAATGCAGTGTGGCATCAGAAAAATGTGTTGCAGTTTGCAAGAGGGATTACACCACAGAAGCATTTTTGAATAGTGAGTTCTATCGTTGTTATTTTTTTTTAGTTATCCAGTAACCATTCATAAATAGAGCTGCAGTAGCAAATGCAGCTGAACCAGTCATAGGTCAGTTTCCAATTTAAGAATAACACTTTTGTTTGAAGCGTTACCACATTTTACAAATAACCACTCCAGTAATTGTGGCTGAAAGGTGAGCATTGCAAATTGTTGCCATATTCCTGTAGTTGTTTTTCTGTATGGTCAGTCAGGCTCAGCTCTGTAAGTAGTGTTAGTAGGTCCTTGCATCATTTGGACCATATGGATCTGATATTAAGAGCAGGCCTTTTTTTTTTTTTCTTTTTTTTTTTTTTTTTTCTTTTTTTTTTTTTTTTTCCATGTGAGCTTTTCATACAGCAACAGGAAGAAAATTTAAAGAAGCACAGCAACATACATGTAAATCCAAAAGTATTGTTCAGGGATCCCTGCCAGATCAGAGAACCTAAATTAAAGTAGCCCTTTACTTCATTGCTCTATTAAAGGGATGAGATGGCAAGTTGCAAGCATGGAGCACTGAAGAAAGGGATAAAGCATTTTTAGATTGATACATGCTGATTGCTGTGATGTCTCACATTTTGTCAGATATGTAATGTCAGTTGTGTGCATTAGTCATATCTAATAAATCATGCTTTTTTTTTTTGGTAGTTGGTCTAGATTATCTTTGAGCAACCTTTTTTCAAATAATAAGTGTGGCATTTGTGGCGTACCAGGGTTTTTGGTTTTGGGCCTTGTATTTTGCTTGCCTTCTACAGCTGAGGTAACTGAGGTGTTCTCCTAATGCATGCTGTTGGTCTGAAACAGTAGGTGTATGGTGTATATGGATTTCCATACAGGTGAAGTCATAGCCTGCCTACCCAATGATATAAGTAATAAAGGATGGTAACAGTACTTGTTTGATGGCTTTGATTTTTATCATGACATCGTATTCAGTGAACAGCAGATGCTAGATGTTCTGAAGAGCATCTTTTCACTTTTGTTTGATCAGCCAGTGATCTTTGATCTATTATGTATAGTACATACATTATTTCCAATTAAAATTTGACATGTTAAATGATAATGTCTGAAAACATGTGCATGCTGAATCGCTACATGTCCCATTTCACTTCATTGGACTCCTAACTTACTTTACACATTCAGTTCATTTGGGGCAAGAGAGACTGATGTATTCGCTGCTGGTTTGTGGCAAGACTAGGGAAACTTAGTAGCTTCTGTGAACCTTGAATTGTTGTAACAGAATATGAACGCTAATTTTTTTTCAATGCATTGTGGGGGTTCTGTCCTGCTCCAGCTGGCACTCTTGTCCCACTCCAGAAAAATGCCGAAGTGTGTGGTTTACTTTGATTGTTTTGCTGGATCTTGAGGATAGCTCAGTATCCTGTGGGATTAAATCCCAGAATGAAAATCTGTGTACTTGGCAAAGAAATCAGCTGTCTTCGTTGTTTTTTCTCCCACAACAGGTATTGCCTTTTACCCAGGCAAAGCTCGGCTGCTTAGCTGCAAGCATCATTACTATGATCACATTCCACCTCTGATAAATCCAGGTCAGCCAGGAGACATTGAATGCACCACTCAGAGAATCAACTACACAGATCCTTTTACTAATCAAACCATGGTAATAATATTATTATAGAATAAAGCTTATTCAGTGGGTGTTTTCTGCTGGCAATGGTGTTTGAAAGTACAAGTATTTACTGAGGGCTGCAAAAAATCCTTGCTTCTGTTTTTTTTTTCAAGCCATCTGTCCTTTTGTTTTCAGAAATGTAAAAGACCCCAGTCAGTGTGTATATGTGTTATGGAAGATCAGCTGTCATGTGGGTGTGTGCAGCCTGAAAACCTGAATGGGACAAAATAAGTAATTTTTCATTATGAAGCCCTTGCTTCATTCCTCTCCTAAATGAACTGGCAAGCATATTCCGTGATATAGTAAATCTAACTTTGATTGAAAACGGTAGCAGTTATTCTGTTAAAGCAGGATAGCTTCTCTCTTTTTGTATGTTTGCTGGGAATTACATACTATTTTTGTCACACTTGGAAAAATCTTAGCTGGGCACCAAGTGTTTCATTACATTTAAATGCTGTGAGCCAGTAAGATGGGTACATTGAGTGATAATCTGTCTTAAATTGCCCTTGAAAATGCAGGGAATCTAGCTTCTGTATAAATAAATGTTCAAAAAATAAAGTATTAAATATGGTCATTTGTGTGTAAAGCGATTGCTCAGATTGTTTTTAAGGAAACAAAATGTGAACAAACAATCTAGGTACCTGTTTGGTCAGCTTTTTTCCTCTTCATGTTTTGCCCTTGGTCGAATCAGTGTTTCTTTCTGGGAAGCAGTTCCTTAGTATATTTGAAAGTAATGTTCTAGGTGCAAGTCTAATTTAATTTCTGCCAGTAATATGCTCTTTTTGCATATTTTAACAAACTAAGAACATGCATTTTATGCTGCGTGGCAGATTCATGTCGAAGCTTGCTGATCCAATAGGCTCTAGTCCCGCAGTGGAATGGAGAGGCACTGAGGCAGAGAGCTCTGAACCATGTAAAGCCCTGTTCAAATTGGCTGAGTCCTTTTGCAAGCAGCAGCTTGCTGTTCAATATAGTGCCTGCACTACCTTAAGTTGTATTCTGCCTGCTAGCATTTTTTTGTTGTGTGTGTTTTTTTTTTTCCCCCTTTCAGCAGCTTACTTGAGGTGCTGGGGGCTGTGAAACTGTTCTTCTTAAGGAGAAGCCCGATGTTCTCCACATTAACCTCGACATTAACTTGTTTCATGTCAAGAGCTGAAAGTTCCTAAACTTTAATGCTCAAAACGGTTTTGATTGTTGTTCTGCAGAATGCAAGTGGCAAGGCCTTGACTGGTAATTCCACATGAACCCAAAAGACTATGATGCTAATGCAGATTTCTTAGAAAAACACTAAATCTTGATGTAAAGACTTAATTTTGAAACTGAAAGGAAGGATTCAGTTGGCATTCTTGTTAGATATTTTAATATTGCTTATATATAAAATATATATAAGATGTATACTTGGTAGCAGCCAAGAAAATCTTGGTGTGTATTAGATTTCTATACAGTATTAGTGACAGATGGCAAATTCATGAACAGGAAATGAGGATTCCTTTACTACTCTCACTATCCCTCTGTCTTTTTACAGAAGTATGCTTTAGTTGTTCAAGGCCCTCGTGATGTAAAGAAAAAGGAACTGGTGTTTTTGCAGTTTCATTTAAATGGAACAGACCAAGATTTTAGTGCCATTGACTACCTTCTGTTTTCTTCTTTCCAAGAGTTCATCAACAGGTATGTAAAAGGATGAGCCTGTAACTGCCTTGAACTTGCTACAACAATACTAGTGAAAGCAGAGCTTTTTTAGTAAAACTCAGACAGGCTTTTACATTCTCTCTTTTTTTTTTTAATGTTTGGGTAATGTTGATGCTCTTTCATGTCTTAGGCTGCTAATCTTACTTTCTAGAAAATGAATTGAGGACCTTCTCAGTGACAAAAACTGCCATTCAGCTATGCTTCAGCGATTGATTGCTGGATTTTCTAAGAGTTTGAAGTTTGTGCTGGCTTACCGCTGTCTGCTGCTGGGGGTGATCAGGCAGTGTGCTGTCCTGGGCAGTGAGCTCAGGACGTCCACTGAGAACACTAACGTTTCTGTACCTTTTTTTTTTTTCTTTTAAAGCAGTTACTGTAAAGATCAGATCCCTAGACTGATTTGTTGTGATTTCATTAAAAGATTAACTATATTTCTTTGTATTGCTAGCTTTATGTAAGATTCTACAGAATGATGTAATTTTATAGATGGGGTTTTCAAAATGGCTTCGTATTGGTTTGACATTGGTGCCATTGGAGTGACTGATCAACCTTCTTCTAATTTTAACAGGAGTGGAATTAATCCCGTCTTAAACTTTCTTGAGAGCCCCAAACTTTTTCCCACCTTGTGAGGATAAATTCCATACTTAACCGTTCAATTTTTGCTTTTATTTGAATTCAGATTTTGTTGTTCTCTCTGTGATCCAGATTAAAAGCTAACAAGAGATATTAGTCACAGTGAGACCTAATAGAAGGCTTTAATTTGGTAACAGTCAGATGCTCAGCGAAAAAGGGACAGGGGATAAAGGCCATATGCAGAACAAAATTAGGTGGGGGAAGGGAAGAGAAATAACGGATTTTATCGTAACAAAGCATTCTTGGAGGCTTGGACATGATTGTACTGGTGCTTTTCAGATCAAGCAAAGACTGGAAGTGTTCAGTCGCAGTATCTCTGGGTGGCCAAAGAACAATTATCTGAATTTGCTTTTTACAAAGTATTTCTACTTCAGTCTTAAGTTATTACTTTCTGTAACTGTACTAAAACACCTCATAAAATGTTAATGTCCCAAGTATTTTAGGTATTGTTATTTTAGGCTGAGAAAATACCAGAATAGTGATGTAGAAGGTGCTACTTGTTCCTTCTGTGTTGTTTTTTCTCAGTTTTTGTGTCTTGTGCCACAGTTAGTGGTATATCCAGTGGGACTGACTCCAATAAGGTGCACAGCTGTTTCTATACTGCAAGACACAAGCACTGTCTGAGACCACCCCTTGTGAAACACAGAGCAGAAGGCACAGTTGTGTTGCATCTTGTTCCTGGCTCTTTGCAGAATGAGCCAGCTTACCAAGATACAACTTGACCTATGCATACTCAAGTCTTGGAAGCCACATTTCTGTGCTCATTGTATCAGTTTGCAGATAAGCCGTTTTAAAGAGCTGTTTCTTCCCAAATTAAAACATGTATGTCCTACTTCAGTTGGCAGTGTTTCTGAAAGCAAGCTGCAAGCCTGCATGCTGCTGTCCCAAGTGGTTGTGCCACATGTTGTGCAAAGGCAGGTTAAATGTGCAAAACAGCAATAAGCAGTATTGCGAAGGTCCTAGCTTTAAGGCTGTGTTTGTGCCAGTGTAGATGAATTGGTAAGAATCACCTGTAAGCTACTTGGTAGAAACCTGGATTGCAACCTCCTGCCTCCGAGTTTGCCAGGTCAAACGGGTTAGATGGCAGAATCGATCCCCGAAGAGATGGGGAAGTATTGTTTTGTTCCTAGAGAAGCTGCCTTGTCTTGGTGTTGGAAGGCACCACAACTGAAGCTGGGAGAGTGAAGCCTGAGCCTGGGTTATGCTTGGAGCAAAGTGAAAAAGTAGGAAGTGGTGGTGTCCGTTTGGGGATGCATCCTCTGTACCTGTTCGCAGCAGGTAGTAGGAATGCAAGTCAAAAATGGTTTTGAACTAACCCAGATAACAGTAAAACTGGCAAAGGTATGTAGGCCTTTAAACTTAGTGGTAAACGATCGGTGTGTCTAGGTGAAATGCGGTAAGAGAACCGGCTGTGCGCAAGAGGCCAGTAGTGTCTGTTTTGTAGGATCCTCCAAAGCTTGGTACAAATTGTATGGCTTGTCGTGCTCAGTATTGTGTATTGCGGTCCTGGCCTCCCGGGGCATGAACTGGACAGGCTCAGAGCAGGTTAAAAGTTTACGTTTTCTCCTGACTATGAACTGCACGTGAAACCGCATGCATATGTGGAATGTACTCGTTCTGTCCAACTTCTAGCAGAAGAGAAAATAGAAATGATTTCTGGTTCATCAGCAGATGCTAAATTTAGTTGATGGGAAGTCTGGACTAAGATATCTGTAGAAACTGTTGTGTATCCTTCCATACGGTCTCTAAAAAACTTCAATTGCTGTCCACTGTTAACTACTTTTCCTGACAAAGTATCTCGCTTACTGGTTATGAGAGCATATTATTAGCACTGTGTCCAGCAATTCATGTAAAGCGTTATCAAAGATGCTGAGATATATGTTAAAACTCATGAGATATCATAATTACCTTTACAGTTTTTTGCCATGGCTGCAAACAGCTTAGATTGGGCTGGGCAGGCAGACTGCTGCAAAATATACGTGTAGGATATTCCATCATCTTAAATCACAATCCAAAACCCTATGAAATTGATGAGAAGAGTCCTGCTGTATCTACACCACAGTTTCTGTGTAGGCAGTATTACGTGCAGCTCACTTTTGCTTTAAATAGCAATAATAGCGTCAGTGAAGGCTGCTGCAAGCATCAGCCATAAGCAATAATAAAAATGGCATCTAGAGACTTGTATCTTTAAGTGTTTTTTTCTGAGGCATAGCAAGTGGTGAGGACTCAAGGTCCAGTTGTTTCTGTCAAGGGTTTTATTCTCTGCAGCTCTTCTGTTAAAATTGGATCGACAGACTACATGAAACCGGCACTGCTTGCCAGTTTTGTTCTGGCCTTCACAGAACACTGCTGAACTGTGTGCTATTGTTGGCCTGTGAGTTGGAGGGGTACTGCCACTGGCTTTTCTCTTCTCTCTCTTTTTTGTTTTTTTTTAAAGGCAATGGCAGTTGCTGTCTGTACCATATTAAGTGGAGGGAAGAAATTAATGAAACCCTTGCAAATTGCCAAAAAAGTGTAGCTAATAATACGAGTTCCTTTCCTGAGGTGTCATTAGTATAATACATGGGTTTAAGAAAATCCTCTGAACATATTACTGACAAAACTATTGCTAGTGTAGCATATAAAATAACTTAGAGTAATGTGAAATTATGAATACTGGTCTGAACAGATCAGAGATTATTTAAGGGTCTAAACAGAGCTCCATGTTCATGTCTCTGGTCTGCATCGCTGCGTGCCAAGAAATAAATTATAACATAGAAAGGTGGAGACTTTTGCCATCACACCATCTGACTCTTTATTAGATCCCATGGCTGTTTGAGAGTTTCCCCATCTAGGGAAAAGCAAAAGCAATAAACACATTTGGGTTTGACCCATCTGTGGTTTTGCCTCTTGCTGTTGCATTGCAATCCGCTGGTGGGACGTCCTAAGCTGCCTCTGGCTCTTGTGGGTTGGTCCATAGAGATTGGTGTTAGAAGGATCCACTACACCCCAGTCCAGAATTCGGTTAGCAACTCCCACTGTTGGGACAAATGCAATCTCTCGTGGTCTGACAATCAGTCTGTGCTGGGGCAGTGGGCTCCCTGTTAGTAGTTTGACCTCTCAGTGGTTACCAGAGAGCGTTGGTTGAGAGGAGACCAGGGATTCGTAGTTCACCCAAGTGAGAGAGGAGCCTCTTGCATTCCTCTGCTGTGATGTTGGAATTTTTGCATGGTCTTGAGGTACCATTAACATCCTGGAGAGCCTGTTGCAGAGTATTCCAGGAATCTTACCATACATCTAAAGGACAGTGTCATAGGTAGAAGAATTTACTGAACAAAAGACACACACACACAAAAAAAAAGCAGTCTTTGCAGGTTGCCTTTCTTTGGGGTGATGAGGGAATTAAAAGAAACTGCCTGGAGAATTGTTCTTCAGCTTAAAATCCCTTGCCTGTCTTCTGTTCACTTAGTTGTGTGTGGTTTTTAAGCTGCGTTATTTGCCCTCTGCTATGATTTGTGCAAAGCTTGCGCCTCTCTGCTCTGTTCTTCCTGCGCTCCCTCCCCCTTTCTTTTTCTTGGCTCTGTGGCAGTGGTCTGGATTATGGGCACATGCAAGGAGATGCCTTCTCAGATCACTTCTCCACAGCTTCTCCTAAGATATTATTAATCTTTCTTTTTCAAGCCTGCAATTACTGTCGAAGGCAAAGTATACTACTGCTGTCTGCTTACCATGTAAGTTGTGGCTGTCATGTTCAGCTCTGTGTCATAACTTCCTGCCTCAATTTTCCATGTTGGTTTGGAAAGCTTTTCTAGGGTGCTGTATTTAGTCAGGCATTAGGCATGTGACTGGCTGGCAGAGTGCTAATTATGTACGTTCCTCTGCGTGGCAAAGCACTGTGTTCTTCTGTAGTGTCCCACCAGCTGCTGCTGTACCTACATACCGACGGGGAAAGAAATCATTGTCAGATTAGGTCTCCCTGTGTCATGGGTTTGTATGGTGAGGAGCTGTCAGGCGATAGGCTTTGTTCTTACGCTTTGCCCACTTCTTCCTTGTGGGGGTTAGAGAGGTGCGCTGCCATCTTGTTGGGATCACTATGCAAGACCCTAATGTTACAAATAAAGATACTCCTAACTTGCTAAAACACTCTTGGAATATCATCTGTCTTGATGGATAACAAAGTGTGTTAGTTTTTCTTTCCAGAAACGCTTCTCCTGTCTGTATGCATGATGGAGTTCTGTGGTTGAGCCCATTCACCTGAAGCCCTGACTTGAGAGCAATGACTTAGCTAGGTTTTGCCTTCCTAGGAACGTGTGCGTATTCCTCTGTTAAGCCTGAGCAGGCAGCATAGTACAGGGTAGTCATCAGTGTGATATTCTTTTTATCAGTGCGTGCTTTTGCTGCCTTGTAGACAAGGCATCTTGGCTTGTGAGAAGAAGAGGAGCCCTGATTCTGAAAACTAATGGAAAAAGACAGGAAAAGCGTAAATCCAGTCAGTGCTGGTACAGGACAAATCTTCCCGATTTGGTCTGTTCTCTGGGACAAGAGCTTGCTTCTTCAGCTCTGCTTTTCTCCTTTACTTCTTTGCATCTTTCTCCTGAAAGACCAAAATACCTTAATCTCCCAACAGACCTAGTCATGCGCACCCTCTGCTATACAACAAAGTATACTCTTTTCCTTCACCTAGGAAGATGGATTTAATCCGAGTGAAAACCCTTTCCCTTTCCCTTGTCTCCAAGACCAGCACACACTGGCATATCTCTGCAACCTGAAATCTATCTTTAGTAAAAATCAGCAGTCTGTGCTTTAATGATTCATGAGTCATCATGGTGGTTTACCCCTTCATTTCAAATGAAACCTTGTTGAAAAAGCAGCTGCAGGGCCAGGCTTATTTCATAGACACGAGATGAAAGTGGCTAAAATCCGGTACTGAGGAGCTCCAAGTAAATAGCATGGTTAATTCACTGTGTCCTGCAGTTAGTAGAGAAAGGATGGAGACCAGACAGGCCTTAGAGCTACCTCTTTACCACTTATAGCAGGAGAGGTATTGGAAGCCTTAAAATGGCTTATGGTCACAGTATTTAAAAAAAAAAAAAAAAAAAGAAACACAAAGCAGTCCTGCTGTTGTGATGCTACAAATATCTGTGATTGCCTGTTGGGAAAACAGCCGTGTTACTGCAGGTGGGAGCCTTACACCAAAGGTATAGTGTTTCCAAAATAACAGGAATACACTGAATGTAAATTTCAAGGCATTTTAAGTATGTCTGCATTGCAACTGGTTTATTTGTATCCCAGAAATGGGGTGAAGCCACCTGCCCTGCCTTTAGGCTGTTCCTTCCATCTCTTGCTTCCTAGCTTTGTGGCGAGCTGTTTCCTGGGGTCCTGGCTCTTCTCCTTTCTGTCCCAGAGATGACAGATGAGCAGAACAAAGCTCCCCTATGAGGCAGAACAATCCCTAGGGGCAGGCAGAACTCTAGGGTGGTAGGGCACCAGGTTAAGTCCTCTGCCGTTAAGAACACAAGTGCAAGTGCTACCGTTAATCAAAACATCATGACTCACAGTGTCTTAGATATGCTGAATTTCAGCAGCTGAAACGTAAAAGGAATTGTGAACACATTTTGAAGTGCGTGTAGATCTGACATTCTCCTGCCTACAGTGCTCAGATACTGCTCTGAGTTTGGTCAGTAAAGTAATGGTCTTTTTCCTTTAGTCCAGAAAAGGCAGAATTCATGAAGGACTGTGAAAGTTCATATTCCAGCTGGAAATTTTCCGGAGGCTTTCGAACTTGGGTCAAGATGTCCTTGGTGAAAACAAAAGAAGAAGATGGTAGCGAGACTGTTGAATTCAAACAAGAGGTAAAAAAAAAAATTACTCAGGAAGAGTGTTTTGGGATCTCTTAGCTTATTAAGAACTAGTTACTGCCATGGTTTTGATGATGACTGGCCAACAGAACCAGTTCTTGGTGCAAATAGCAATAAGAGTTGGAAGAAGGGTGCGTGGGTTGGTTAAGTGAAACATGAGGAGCTTGTTTTCATTTCATTGCATCCATTACGCCACTTACCACTGAGAAGTTTTGGCTGTAGTTACTTGCAGTCTTTCTTAACATGGAGAGGTTCTGTAAAAGCATAAATGTCTTGATTTGCATGGCTGTTGGTATGGCCTAGTGACACATCTCAGGAAAACACCTCCTGATGGGGAGGCCAGAAAATCCAGGCCTTGAATGTGTTACAAGTGATTATCTGTAGGTGTAAGGGTCTGAAGAGACTGACAGAGAAAAATTTACACAGCTACCTGTAGTTCAAGGTGGGGAACAACTGCCAAAGGAATTGTCTAAATAATAGCTAGTATTGGAAAGAGGTATTGTTTAGGTTACCACAAGGGCTGATATTAGGATGAAGAGGTAAGGGTGAGCCTCGTATACTGTGTAGCATTCTCGTAGCTGCTTTTTGTTTGGGTTTGGGATTTTTAACTGTTGAGTATCCTTAGAAACATGGAGTAACTTAACTTCTTGCATCATTTAAAACTAGAAAATACGCAGGTGGAAGATGCAAACTTAGCTAGAGATGAAATGGGTTTGACTTTCATTCTGTTCTGTCCACACTAATGGACAGGAAAATAATTGTGGTTTGAGTTTATCTTGCTCCCAGCGTTGGTTGGAGAGGAAGTGTCTCATCGGTGGCGAGAAATGAAAATTTTAAGAGCAGTTCTTTCCAGAGGGTATATCTTTCAGAGAGTACACTTTCTCTTAGTCTCTGGTACACGTGGAAAGAGTAGTTTGTGGAGATCAAAATGAAGCAGAATTTTCAGTTCTCCTATCTTTAATTCTCACAGTTAGGGCATTACGTGGCAAAGCCTTAAGGGCAGAGCTGTGACTGTGAGGTGGGTACCCTCCTACTCCACTGGAGGAGGACAGGAGGCAAATCCCAGAGTCATGCAAGTCCCAAGCCAGTGCTTTACTTTGGAGAAGAGGAAAGAATGCATCAGTCAGCTGCTGCCACGTAAGCACTAACAGCAGTCCTCTGGCCTTCATCACCTACAGCTCTGTATCACTTGCCATTTGGTACTTACCAAGTGTAGGATTTTTGAAAGTCCTCCTTTGTGTGCCTGAGTCTAACGAGTCTCAAAGTGGAAACAAAAGGCTGACTCAAAATCAGAAAAAGCTGAGCTTTTTGTGACCATAAACATCCATGTAGTCCAGCAGTTACGGACTCTCAGATCATCTGGGTAGGTGAACACTGTGTTGTTTTTTTGTTGTTTTGTTTTGTGGGTTGGTTGGTTTGTTTTTAATAAAACCTAGGAAATAGGAATCAGTACAGATGTGAAATTTGGGTTTCAAATCCCTATTAATAATAGAGTAGAAGTTGAAGTAGCTCAGACATAAATTGCACTTGCTTTGTTTGACAGTATGTCTGCTCACGTTGCGTAAGGAAGTCCATTAACCTTTCAGATCTAAAGCTGGGAGATGGCATACCAGGAAGATGGATACAAATACTAGGTCAAATAGCACAGTCAGTCTGCTAACTAGCCCAGTGGTCATTACCTTGTCTTTTCTTCCTTTCCCATTGCCTTCCTTTAGGCTTGTGTACCGTTTGTTTCCTGGTGTGCAGTTTTCTTGAATGAGTGTAGTTGGGGTGATGGTACGCTGCGGTAAGTGAGCTGTAGAAGTATAGGGTAAGTCTGCAGCAAAGGTGTTTGACCAGAAAACATGAGGTGGTGAAGCTCCCATATGCTCTGAATGGACATACATAGTGTTCTAGTGCCCGCTTCTACGTGTTCACAGCCTAAAATCTGGTCAGGGCAGGCTGTGCGGGGAAGACTGATAGAAATCTTGAAGTATTTCTAAAGAAACTAAGCCATGGGAGGTTTTTGTCATAGGTCATCCCTCATACAATGAAAAGGCTTGTAAGAAGGTGAAAATAGCAGACTGTTTAGGGTCTTCCAGTTCAGCCTTCCTCTACCTGGAACAACAGGCTCCCAAAATACGGGAAGGGCAGTTTCATCCATCTGTCTCACATTCCTGTTGCAGCCTTGAAATGAAGTTGCAGTACTGCTGGATTCACTGTTTCCAGTATGGTATTTGACGTAGGAAGAGCAGCAGTACTACATACTCCTTTGAGGGCTGGAAAAGGGAGAAGTCCTGCCATCACTTGTTCAGCTGTAACTCCACTGTGCTTTCCTGTTAGGTACCTGTCTGGCTCTTGAGCAGTTTATATTGTCTCCTAGCAGCAGAGGGTTAGTGTAAACTGTGTTCCTGTGTACAAACCCTGTGTAGTTCCCCTCAGGGCTGGGGGGTGTGTTACAGGACAAGATAAATGTTTTTCTGAGCCCTGATGTCTTAATACTTTCCTGATCGTGGTTCTTAAGACTATGGTTTCATGTGGCTGTAACATCGATCTGGTATCCTAAACTATACCCTGGTGGAATTATGCTAAATCTCTGCTGGTCAGTGCTGGTTTCAAATGGTAGCCTAGTTAATGGGCAGTACTGGGAAGTATGGTTTTAATTGTTAACATCTAGGCTTCCTTCCCTTCCATTTTCATTCTGCACTTGCTGGCAGCTTCTAGTTTATTCTACAACTGATTTTTCAGAAAAGGTCTTCCTGCCACCATTGTGTAGTTCTCTGGTAAACAAAAGTAATTTAGCATTCATTCATGAGAACTTGCCAAATGTTGTATTACTCCAAGTAAATGAATTTGGTAAATGAAATTTTCCCTCTTGAAAGGGAAAAACTATGTAATAAAATAAAGGCCCTGGCTACCAGTGTAAAAATGGCATTGCGGTGTTTTACTGAGACATAGGAAAAGACTACGAACATGAGACAGATGGGGGAAGCTGCCCTTTCCGTATTTTGGGAGCCTGTTGTTCCAGGTAGAGGAAAGCTGAATTGCAAGTCTCTAAACAGTCTGCTATTTTCACCTTCTTACAAGCCTTTTCTGTTGCGCAGAAGCCTCATTACACCACTGAAGAAAGTAACCTCTACATTTGTTGTCTTTTTTTTTTTTTTTTCCCCCTCTCCCCAGACAAGCGTGGTTAACTATATTGACCAGGGAACTAAACCAAGAAGTGACCAACTGTTTTTCGTGGTATTCGAATGGAAAGATCCTTTTATACAGACTGTTCAAGATGTGAGTAACATGCTAGTCCCTTTTTGAATTGTTATCTGACTGTACATGCTCATGGTTTGTGTGCATGCACATGCACGTGCCTCTGTTACCTCACTCCAAGCAGAAATTCAGAGGAAGAGTGAAGTTACTTCTAAAACTTCAGTCTAGGCTCTTCCTTATATCCAGTAATGCATATTCTGCGGAGGTCAAGATGGTCTGACGCCTTTCCTTGGCTTGGTGACACCGCATTCTCCTTGCAGCTAGAGGTACCTGTAACTAAGAGAAAGCACATCCCCTCTGTTCTGGCAAAGTATAGCTTCAGGTCAAGTCTGAACTTTTTGCTTAAGTAAGTACGCTTGGATAAACCAATTTAATGACTTTTCTTATTAATTGACAAGCAAGAAACCTAGGCTTAAATCATAACAATAAAAATAGCCTAGTGTATTTTTTATCCTTATTAGAATAGAATTTGGTACTGCCTTCGAATGCGCAAAAAGCACTTGAAAATTTAGCTCAATATGCTGCAGCCAGAGGTGTAGGATGTGCCAGACAAGACTACGCTCAGTCCCTGGAGTGCTTGAGAGGTGTGCAGGTGTGCACTGCAGGTACATGTGCTTTAAGCATGTGAACTAGATCTTGTTCTCCTAGTGTTCTAGGGGAGAAGGTCAGAAACATTTGCCCTCCCCAGAAAAATGCAGAATGACAAAGTCTGCAGGGACAATCTGTTTAAAATTTTGCATTTAAAATGGCCTTACCTGACAACCAAAGTCCATCACCAGCAAAAGCCAGAGTTCTTGTTTTCTTGCCTGAAACCAGAGTGCGAATGCAGACCGTGTGGGGCAGGAGTGGGTGGTTGGTCCTTTGCACTCCTGCTGTCCTGTCTGTGCTGGGACCAGGCACCCTCCCCAGGGGCCCTGAGAGCCCAGGCCTGTTCCCAGCACCTCCCGCTCCTCTCTGCCAGATGGGGTTCACACCTCTGCCGCCTTTGAGCTGAAAGCTGCCCTTGATCCGGTGGATTGAGGGTGCTTGTTTCCTCTTGCTGCAGAGGCCATAGCTGACAAGCGCTGGCAGCCAGCGCTGCTGCTTTCAGGACGATTAACAGATACGGAAAGCCTGTTTAAGACCTCCTGGCTCGGGTGGTGACCTAGTGGCACTCACGCTCATGCTGACTGTCAGAGTTGCAGGCTCCATGGCAAGTCCCAAAGCTGGGTGCTACTTTATGGCCGTCTAAGCCTACCTCTGCTTGCTTCATCAGAGATCCTAGAAGTCATCCTTGTGCCTAGAGGTGCAAGGAGAATTGCAAACTATAAATCAACTTAACTACTCTTGAACCAAATGTAGTTAAAAATAGTAATATAAAATACTTGCTGTAGGTCTGCGGAAACATTTGCCACTGTCAAAGCCTGCTTTAGCATTACAGTGATGTCTTGTTAAAGCCTTCCAGTAGTTGTGTCTTTTAGCTTTGTCTTCAAGATCTTCTTTAATGTGACTGCTTATTTTTTGGAAATCCTTAAGTAATATAGTAAATTTAATCTATAATCTTAAAATTAGCAGTTTAACTGTATCTCTAAAGTTTTGAACAATATCCTGAAATAGTCCAAAAAGAATTTAGCACCTAATACAGAGTGTTTTCTTCGTGATGGAGGGAACTGCAAAACCATGCGTGGAGAAGGCTACAGGCGACCTTTGCAGCATAAAGGAATATGCTGCTAAACACTTCAGTTTGAAAAATGGAATTGTTTATTATTGAATAGGTATAATATATGCTGAGTCAGATGAGGGGAATAATATTTTTAATCTCTTTCAGATTGTCACAGCAAATCCCTGGAACATGATTGCTCTTCTTTGTGGTATCTTTTTGGCTCTGTTTAAGGCAGCAGACTTTGCTAAGTTAAGTGTTAAGTGGATGATCAAAATCCGAAAGAGACATCTGAAGAGGAGTCGTCAAGTGATGAACCACATAAACTGAGACTAAGCGTGCCTTTTAACTATTCATAGCAGAAGGGCTAGAAAATAACTGGAATAAACTTCGATCGGCAATCCAGCAATTAAAGATGCAAACCAGGTATGTTTTCTTTTAGAAAAACAACAGCTGGAGGAACAGCCTAGTGAACTGGCCTTTGAACTTCAGAAAGGAGCTAACTGTAGGACAGGTCTAACAAACTCATGCTTCTCTATTCCAAATTTAACAAGCTTACCTCAATATATGGGGGGACCAGGGGGAAAGGAGAGAATTCTCTGATGTTCAGAAAGTCAACACTGTAGTGGTTAAGATCTAAAAAAAATGGACAATGCTTGAATGCTTCTCAGAACATGGACCATTTAAGTGCTGCATGAGCTATGACCTGCATCTGCTACCATAACATAGTTACGACCCTGACTGTGGTTGGTGGAAGGCAAAGCGCTCAACAAAAGTCTGGCCTCCCCTCTCCAAAGTATGCATTAAAACAGAATACACTGGAATTCTATTACGTGTCAGTTTTGATTTAAAGTATAGTGACTTTAATATTAAAAAATACTTCAAATAAGATATTGTGTACATTCTTTGAAACTACCTTCTCTCAGATTCAGCTGGAGCTTTACAAGAGGTTGTCCAGGCAGGAATATTGCTGCAAGAGGATAAGGGGAAAAAGAAAAATCTATTCTAGATCAGTCCAACTCCAGGTAAACTCAAGCAACAACTCAATACCTGCACATTTGAGCTGATGATAGAGTTCAAAGTCTGTCTCAGGCTGCTGCTCATCCCTCTTTCCCCTAGTCTTTGCTAAAGAAGTGAAAAATAGTCTTTCATCAGCCTGGCATTTAAATGCGATTATTATATAGAAAATGTGTGCTAACGTACTGTGCTCTGATGGTGTAGTCTGCTTCCTTGTAAGTCAGTCCCTTACTAGTCTAGATGCCTAACTCAGGCTTGTGGAGGCTACGGGGCAGCAGTGCACCACTGCATGTTTGCTCAGAAGGCTTTGTTGCAAGGGAAGGAACATGCCACGTCATATTTTGCTTCTTCCATCCTCTACTAACAGAGTATTAATACAGCAGTAAGCGTATCAAAAGTGCCCCCCCCCCGTGGTTTTGGGTTTTTTTGCCTTCTAAGGAAGCATTCTGGAACATCTGCTGATTTCCAGAGCAAATCAAGGCACTGCGTTGACCAAACACAGCCTTAAACAAGGGAGCAACAATTGACTGCAATAAAAACCACAAACCAGCTGCCCTGGCTGCAGGCATGGCGGCAGCACACAGGTTCTCCTGTGTCGAGAGCTGAGGGCAGGAGGAGGTTACAGCCTACCAGTCACTCGCAGTTACCTGCTCTTGCCTCTTCCCCAGCTCCAGTCTTTGGTGCTTCACAGGGCTCATAATTTGAATGGTCTAGGCTGAGCTAACTTAGAATCATTATGGTTGGAAGAAACCGCAAAGATCATCAAGTCCAACCGTACAACTGATGCCACCCTGTCCACTAAACCATGTCTTGAAGTGCCACATCTAAACGTTTTTTGAATACCTCCAGGGACGATGACTCCACCACCTCCCTGGGGAGCCTGTTCCAATGCCTAACGACTCTAACAGTGAAGAAGTTCTTTCTAATGTCGAGCCTGAACCTCCCCTGGCGCAACTTGAGACCGTTTCCTCTCGTCCTATCGCTAATTACCGGGGAGAAGAGCCCAACCCCCACCTCACTACAACCTCCTTTCAGGTAGTTGTAGAGGGCGATCAGGTCTCCCCTCAGCCTCCTCTTCTCCAGACTAAACAACCCCAACTTGATCACACTCTTCTGGGGAAAAAACCCCATTTGGCTGGCAGAGCAGGTGGTGTTCAGCCAACGGTTCATGTTCAGCATCTTGCAGTGATGGCTCATAAACAGGTCCAGTGGGGCCAATACTGTACCTGCCTCAGGTGAGGGAGGTTAGAGTAGTGCAGAGCAAGTGTACGAGATTAAACTAGAGAGGAGCAGCAAAGCCTCAACACTGCACTGTTGAAGTGAACTGTTTGAGAGCTATGTCATCCCTCAGTGCTGGTGTAGTGGGGAATGGGACAGAAACTTGGACAAGGCGGGCAGACGGGGGGATAAAAACCCGCACTTAGACCATCCGCATCAAGAAGAACCCTGTTGATTTTGCTATATAACAGCCTATGCTGGTAGGAAAGATTCCACTGACTCCCCTGGTCAGCTTACAGCCCTTTGCTTTCCCAGATACACTGCTGAGGGGGCCTGCTCCACAGGTAAGACAGAGACAACAGAGCTTTCTTCATCCTCACTGTCAAAGAAAGACCCAAGTGTTCCTTTAACAAATGATATTACAGCAGCTATTTCTTGGATTTGACAAAAATGTTTAGAAACAACAATTTGACCAGGTACCAATTCATCCTACTGCATTCTTTGTTCTTTTTTTGCTAATGAGGGCAGAGAAGGTAAGTTGGAAGACAACTTAGCTCCAGTTGCAGAGTGAGTAGGAGGTATGGTTAAATAAAGGATGCACTCCTTTCTGCAGTATTTAATGTACTTTTTTTTAATCAAGAGTTTTTGTTTTATAAGGAAATGTTGTTAATCGAGCAGGCCAGCTGATTCCACCCAAGAACCCTTTCTTTTATATACCTATTCATAGGAGTGATTCCAATAGCAAGTGTTGCACAATTTGAAATGGCCTCTTACAGCTGCGGTGGTGTTTTTTCTATTACTTACTCTTGATGTTAAAAAATTTACAAATATGCACAACTCATAACAATTACAAATGCCAGCGATTTGTTCTTGGTACCACTGCAAGGTAAGTGTTAGATTCCCCAATGTTTGTATCATTATTTCCTTTAGACACTGTAGGACAGCTCAGAATATTTTGTGTCTCAAATTGGGGGTTCCATTCTTCTGTGGAAAAAAGGCATTAAAGCACTAACCTGAGGTGAACTGTGTCTGCCTGACGGTCATCTCCCTCCTGAGCTGGCAAAGCCCACCCTTGCAGGCCCCACCGTGTTTAACATCTGGCTTCAGGACTTCAAGAAGCACTGTGAAAAGTAAAGGATTTTTTTCTCCCCGTGCCACTGACCATGGCAGAGTCTACTTTGGTCAGCTGATCACACAGTCTTTTTGTGTGAAACTGACAGGTAGAGAGAAGTAACTAATTAGTTTTGATTAGTAATAATTAGTACTAATTAGTAACTAATTAGTGTGAGCCACTTCAGGCAGTGTTACTCCCATTGACTCTCTGAAACACAACTACTTAAGAGACAAAAATGAAGTAACACTAAAAGTGTAATAAAGTCAACCCAAGCAGTGTAGTAGAGACTTTTTCTCCCTGCAAACTGCCTGAATGACGTCAGTAAGCGGGCAAGCAATCGGTAAGAAAAGCCCGGGACACTTGCCTCAGCAGTTCTGACCACCACAGAGCAGAACAAAGCCTTCCACCCTACTCACCAAAAATAAAGCCCTGGCAGCCTGCACCTCCACCACTTTTTCTGCTCAGTCAAAAGCCACAGGTTACTCAGAGACATGTGCAGTTAAAAGGTTGTTCATAAAAGCCATTCTAGTTCTTCTGGTCTTTATAAACACAAAGATGTGATATACAGCACTAAATACAAACATAAAGACTTTATTGAATGCTGCTCAATTCCCCAAAGATCTTTCATTACAAAAGTTTTCCACACAACTGCAATTTAAGATTGGAATGGTACTCTGATAAAAGATGTGAAAAATACTTGATCAAGTAAACAGACAAGACTTCTATTGTCAACTTTCCACCTTTAAGAAACAGACTGCATTTTCTTTAAATAAAACAAGGAACTGTTTATTGACATCCTTCCCTCCTTGCTAAAAAAAAAAATTAAAAAAAAAAAAGAATCCCAATTTTGGTCTCAGTCTTCAGTCCATGAGATGCTAAAACTAATGCAGAAACACCCAAGATGACAGTCTCTGGGAGACCTGCACTGCTCTGCAGGGAGGCCTTGGGCTGATGAGGAGCATCATTGATGGGCTCGCTACAGGAAGCTCCATCCTCAGCTGCAGCAGGAGGAAATCTCTAAGTAGCCCAGGAGCAAGAGGTAGCAAGAACAGGGTAGAGGCACTCACCAAGTGGTACGTCAGGCAGACACGTGGACCACCCCAGCCTGTTCAAGCTGACTTTCTCTCCCTACTTTGCCTCGTTCTCATGTGAGCGTTCCATAAATCTAAATCTGAATCCAATCAGGAATTTAAGGACAGCACCATCTCCGAGTTCCTTTCAATGCTGTAAGGGGCACATACTGAGTATCTCAAGTTATGGTAACGTACCTTGGTTTTATTCAAGAAAATACAGCACAAGTAGAAGCCTTTTCTATCGTCTTAACTGAAGTATGCAGCGATGTGAAAAGCACATATAAAACAAGGAAAAAATGTACATAGCAAACTATACCACCTATGTGCAACACAATCAAAAATTCAAGTCATAATTCTCACCACTCCCATAATTATTTCACTCATTAAGGATGATAATTCAGCTCTATGAAACATTGGAAGTGACAATATATCAATAATTAAACAAATTTACAATATGCTGTGGTAATGATATCACTTAACTGCTGCATTTAAATTCAAATCTTTACATTTGCCAGAGAAAAAAATTGGCTGTTTCTGTTATACTGATGAGGTTTCTTTTGCAAATCCTTATATATTTCAAAAGGGTACAAAAAATGTCTGCCGAGTAGAGGTGGTCATTTCTTTTATTTGGCACTTGTATTGTGTGCATTTAGCACATTGTGAGTGCTGTTCTGCTTTTCTGCCATAGCCTTCTTAAGCTTTAACTCCTCTAGCTTTCTCCACAACTCTTCACGTTCCAATTCTTTCTTTTTCTCTCTGCAGAAAAGAGTGAGGTATCAATTTCAGATGGGTTTTAAGTGCAACGTGGAGACACAGTTACTTAACAACTGCGATTTACATCTAGTAATTCCTCTTGTAAGTTTTTCTCCAAAGGTATTTTTAGAGGCAATTACAGTTTCCTCTGTTAAAAAGCAAGCATATGAAGTGGTAACCGTTAGCGGTAAAACTGTAACTTTGCTCCAACAAACTCAGACAATTGCTGTAGTGTGGCTCTGCACAGATGACTGCAGTTCTAAGGAGGCTCTTTATCACATGCAAACAAATTAAGGGACTATGCATCTTTGGGGGAGAAAAAACACAGATACTGAATGAGACTTAGCACATGGTCTCGGCTGGCCTAGGATAATCTACGCCCTGCCTCCCTTACTCCAACAGTACTGCTTAGTAGGATAAGAGAGGTTTTAGCTGAGCTATGAAGCATTCTCCAGCTCCTCTTGCTTCAGACAACAGCCTCTGAAGCAGCAGGGCCAGTGCCAGGAGGCCCTCACAGCAGCCCCTGAGCCCAGTTTTCCCCATCCAGGCAGGATGGGGAGCTAGGCCCTTCCCGCCCCCTCCCCAGGCTTCAGCTCCCACCGCACCACTGACGCACACCTGCATGGGTGCTTTGCTCAAGTGGCGCCCGGCAGCCAGCAAACACTCCATGAGCAGTTCCACTACAGAACCCCACAGCCACAACAGTTACGTTTTCTTTTCAGCTGGTACATTTTAGATATGTACTCAACATGCATTTGGAGGAAGAATCAGTACCTTTGCCTTTCTGCTTTGTATGAGCTTGTAAGTTCATCAAAAAGCTTGCCGTTCATTTCCATCAGGGTTTTCAGCACGTTATACACCAGCGCCACAATAGTTCTACAACAGAAGGAACACAACCATTAGAACTACTCAGCACAAAAATAGCTTCAGAAAACAAGGGCTCAATTTCTTTTTTGGACTCTGAGCTTCTTATTTAAGCTACTACTGTAAGGTCAGTGAGTTTCTGAAACAAAATCTTTTACTGTAATTTCCTCTGTAAATTAATAAAATGCATATTTAAGTGTTTTTTGAAATGGCTATTTAATCTTAAATTCCTTACTCTTGTCATTGCAAGCCATTCAATTACATTAACATTTAATAAACTGAATTTTAACAACAATTTTGTAATATTTGAGTAATGAAATATGAGTCTAGAACAATAAAACTTCTGGCTAGTAGCTTCAAGACTGGGCAAAAGAATGCAGCAGAGGAACCACAGGCGCATGGTTTAATACAGCTACTAAAAGCTCTACCAGAAGCGTTTCTGGGGAGCAGACAGTTTTGCTGCACACGCCCCAGTAGAGAACTGAACTGAGGGCATCAGGTAATGGTTTCCGGTACCTTCATTTCTTTAAGAAACTAAACAGCTTGAGCAATACTGGTGGTGTCTTACGTGGCTGGCTGTATTTCTATTACTCTTCTTTTTGTGAAAGCATTTGCATTTCAATATATTATCTTAAATATTGTGTTGTTTATCTCCTTTAAACCCACTCTTAATTATACAAAGAAATGCAAAAATAGCAATAAAATTAAACATTAATAAGGTGCCTATCGTTAAGCTTATCACTAAATCAAAAAAGTAGGTAAACTGTCTTCCCCATCATTCCCCTTACTAGCAGTTCACCTTTGCACAGCAGTATTGATTGTAAGGTCGTAGAGCAGGGGTGCCGTGCACTCTTGTGACCTTGAAAAATGAGTGAAAGAAAAACCTAAGGAAGTAACCAAAGGACCAGGTTTGCCTTTTCAGTACACTCTGTCCATGGTGGCTCCCAGCTACTCAGCAGAGGCCTTATTGCTCATCCAAAATGCACACTACACTTAGCCTGTCTTCGACGCACCTTTTTTCTTTTTTTTTTGGAACACTGGCTTTCACATCATTTGAAGACAAAAGCTTATTCAGGGTTTTGGTTTTCCGAGAGAAAAGCATAATTTTGAGCGAGTAGTTAAGTCCATATCGGACAGCTAGATAGATGGAAACACGTTTCTCCGCCTTCCAAAACAGATTAAAACCAAAGGGTTAGACTTTCTTCCCCAAAATTCCTCATCCTCAAGCTATACTGTTATCCCGTGTCTTTCACCTCCTTCATGAAGAGCAACTTCTGTCTGCAGCGAGGGAAAGAGGGATGTCCTTCAGATTTATTGAGGTCCCAAGTACTATTAATGCCCCAAGAACTAATTCTCCGAAATTTGTATTTGGTCTCAGCTAATATGTTTGCAACTAGACACACCGTCTAGATAAATTCAAAATCATTTCAGAGCCTCTAAAGGCTCAGAACAGGACATCTGGTTTACTGCAAAGTTGTGGGAGGCTCCTGCCCACCCTGGCTTTTGCCTGCACGAGCTTTACATTCTGCATATTGCCTTGCAGCTCAGTTCAGGATGCTGGACACAAACAAACTTTGGTTTTAGTATTTCAATATAATTACTGCTTCTTTCAAACATGATATAAAAATACTAATATTTAACTTGTGGCATTACATATAACATGAAGTAGTCACTCATTTCTCTTTCCTACCATCTTCTATAGTGGTAGGCATTGCTCTTCTCTGATAGTATCTTTTCCCCTTCTTATCTCCCTGGGTAGCAATAACTACTTATGAAGACACTGACAGAATTTTCTTCATCTAAAGTAGTAAAGGACAGCAAAGCATAAATGTAGCAGAAGCATCCCTTGGAAATTGTTTGTCTAAGTAGTATTCATCTGCATTTTTAACACACACATAAGATCAAATGTGATTACAGTATGAAGACTCATCCAATTTCTGCATACTTTTTCAATAAATTCCAGGTCTCCATCATAACAACGCAGAACAGTGAAACCATGATACAGCTGAAAATTATGTCCATTTTAGCACCCATATTCTCATCAGTTTCATCTGATTTAAGTAAAAATGAAGTACATTTACCAGCTTATGATCCAAACCTGAAACAGTGGACAATTTATTTACGGTATTATATATAAAATTAAACATTACATACGGATTCCAGTGTTCTTTGGAGATCTTGTATAAACTGCCAAACATAATTGGCAGAATTTTATCAATGTTCTCCTCAATTAGGCTAAGAATATATTCATTATTCCAGAAGTACAAAGCTCTTTCTGCAACCTGAAACACAAAAGTTTAGGGGTCAACAGCCACAAAATAAATTACCACAAGTTTGGGTTTTTTTATTATTTGGGTTTTTTTACCTGAAAATGTGAACTTGACACACACTTGGATATTTGCTTAAATAAAGGCTCTTCAATTTTTTTGAATTGTGTCGGTTCTATTACATCTAAGATTTCTTCAATTTCACCTAAAAACATTACCTGTTTGTATAAAAGAAACATATAAATATTCTCATACTTTTTGATATTGCCATTGTAAATAGACACAAACAAAATGCAGCTTATAGTCACGAATCCCGCAAAGAACGCTCTATGTAATTACAATGCATTAGACACACACAATTTTTTTGCAGCCTGAAAGAAGTCAATCGTCAGTTTCAGCTACCAGCTTACAGCTCTCATCTTGGATTTCTTCTTTTGTGTAATTGCTCCAAACACTTCACAGAACTGCTTCTGCAGAATATGGGTTTTTTCAGTTAAAAAAAAATATGCTAGAGCACTTTATTTCTTCAAGAACGGCTGCAGAGATTACCACGATCTGAGATCTCCAAAGTAGCTTCTGAAGTGATAAATAGTTAATTCCCATCTTAAATGACAGTCAGCAGAACACTAGCTAGGTGGCACAGAAAAATTTAACACCGCTCACAGAAACAGGGACAACAGCACTAAGGGATCCCGCTTTTAGAGAGCTGTCGGGTGGGTGGGATCTGGTGGCATAAATCAAACTCCTGAATTTTAAACTCATTTTAAGTACATAGAAGAAACCAGAAAAAACACATTTCCCAAGATCATTTAAAGCTATTTTTACACTATGGAAAAAGAATGTATGTATGCTTTACCAGACACTCGGTATCTCAAATGCTAAGTCTGTGTCACATTGCAGGACCGCCTCCAACCTGGTCTGTATCTACTAAAATACTTCTCACCTGAGAAAATTGTTTCTCTATACAGTATCTTAATTAGAATGCAATTTTTAATATAGTTTTAACATAGTACACCATAGTAAGAACAGGCATACAAAACAATTGCATTGAGTTGCACCACAAAGATGAGCGCCCCAAGAAGCTTCAAGAACTGGAAGTTTTCTGCAAGATCTCTTGAAAAGCAGAGCAGAAGTAAGGCATATGAACCTGCCACGCTACATTTTACATCACAATAGACACCAGAAACGAGAGACAAAACCAACCTCTTTCTGACTGCAGGTTTTTGGCCAAAATTTGAGCAGTCCTCTGATTACCTATATTAAAAATACAAACAAGTTACAGAACATGTTTCTATTACATATTTGATAGGATTAAAAAAAAAAATAAAATACTAGTTTACTTTTCCTTATCCAGAGGTTCAATGAAAACCGTATACAGCTAAATGTAGTTCCACTGAAAAGAAATACTGCGCTGTCTCATTTAAATTCTTATCTTGTTTAGGTTATCAGAATAATTTAGAGCCCTATCACTTCACAAGTCTGGTTATCCATTCTCACTCTGCTCCCATCCCAGTACATACATTAATTGATAGGATGCTGGTTAACTTCATTTTGTGATGCTTTGATGTTAACTCCCCTGTAGCTAGATTTCCCAGGATATTTTTTGTCTTCTATTCACCCATTCTTTGGGGAGCACCTGTCTTGGCATCAGGGTTTGAAGCCCCTGAGCAAGCAGTTATACGCTGACTGCACAAACAGGGCTACACAGAGAAGCCATGGCCTCCACCACTTCCTTTTTTCTTCTAGAATTTGAAATGTTAAAGACTGGAAACTAAAAAAAAAGAAAAAAGTGAACTTACAGAGAAAATATATTCCAGTATGTACACTGGAAACTATCTTACACAAGACTGGGAAAAAACCTATGGGAAACTTAATTAGAAAGCACAGCCCCCCAAGAGGGAAGGGGGAAACACACAACAAAGAAAGGCTGGAGGTCTGTTTCCTAGAAACAAACTGACATGGCATCTAAATTACAAAATTAATGCTGGCTAAAAAAAAGAAGCCATAACTATGTTTTGGAAGCAGAAACGTTCTCAGAGCCTTATAAACTTTCATTCTGAGGAAAAAAATACTCTATGATATAATAGCACCTAATTAATCATATCCAACTGTAAAACTTACTCAACTATCTGAATACCTTCTATACATGTTTTTTTGCCACATTGTTCCCCCCCGCCCCCAGCTGGCTGTTTTATTCACAACTACATGTACTATCAAAAGTGACTTTCCAGAGAAAAAGTCGATATGATTTTAAGCGCTCACAAGTCTTCATCCTAGGATACTCACATATCCCGCTACTACAAAACTGAATATCACTTCAAAAGACACTGAGCAAATACAGAAATCGCAGGCAGTTGGTAAAGTCCTATGCTCAAATCCACAAAACCAAGGCAAGTTACAAGGAAAGAGCAGATTCCTTACAGCCCTGACCATACAGTTCTACCCAGCTGGCTGAGAGATCAGACGACAGAAATACTAACGCCAGCATCTGACACCTGACGAAGGAGCAGGAGGCCTGGGCCAGCCCACACGGGGGACAACTTTGCCACCCGTCCAGCAGAGCTCCCTCCCCAAACTGCCCCGCGGGTACTGACCTGGCCTCCTTCCAGCCCCTACGACTGAGCAGAAGAGCTGGGGCAGATGGCACAGCAAGGTGGGGAGGAGAAATTCTGAGCTGCCCCATTTCACTGCAGTTACCTGATCTGGCAGCCCTTCCCTCACTTGCTTCTCCTCCGCTCTCAAGGAATCAGACTTGCATGAACTAATTGCATTTGTTTCTCCAGATTCATTAAAGTAGTCTACGTAAATACACTTTAAATCTAGGGCCATTTTCTGTTAATTAGCTTGTAACTGAATAACTTGGTTATATACACTATTGAGATTCTGTATTTTTAAAGAACAAACCTGAACATTTACAGGTATAATAGCTTATTCTGCCAACACCTTCCCTTCACCCAGAACAATGCAAGTAAGCCAAAAAATTTCAGATAAGCACATTTACCAAAGACAAGCTGTGAGAACCTACCATACACATCTAATCGGAGCATGAATTTACTGGTCTCAAAAGCATAAAATTGAGTTAGCTGGAAGAGTCCAGTTTCCAGCACTTGTTATTTTAAGTGTATTGAATATACTTCGTTACAGAGACTCATTCTCAACTTGATAAAGAAATAATGTGTTCCAAGTAAAACAGTGAAGACCTCAAAAAGATACCTATTCCTTGCTCCTCAGCTGAGGATAATCAGTTTCCAGCTCGACTATGCTTTCCTATTCAAAACCTGATACACACACATTTATGTTCAAAGATTTTATTCACAGAAATACTCAACATAAATGCAGATCTGAAATCTTGCTGCTCTTACTACACAAAACTCTTAAGATTAATATTCTTCCCTGAGCTACAAAATTTCCATAGAGTGACTTACAACAGTAGGCACTTGCGAGAAAACTTGTCTTACATACAAGGACTGCATATTTAGCCTGGGTTCTTCAACGTAAAGGCCATTGCACTTAGCAGGGTTAGGTAACAAACTCTTCTTGTCAGCTCTGCAAACATCAGGACTGACCTAAGGCAGACTACCATAGTTACAAGAGCTCAGATTGAATGTCCTCTAAGTTGACCCCGAGTGACAATTCCTGCCAGAAAAATAACAGTAAGGTACTCATGAAGACAGCCTTCTGATGGAGTGCTTAAAATATTACTTGACCTAAAGCCAAAAAAAATTTCAAATGCTATCCCATCAGTTGCCCCAAATTTTAACATTTACTTTTCAAGCATTTCAGAAAGTTTCTTAAAGCTTCACTTCTTACCATCTAATTAACTTTTACTCCTTTATAAAGCCAATTTTACTACATGCTCAGAGTAGTGACCAAAGCAAGCACAGGCAGTGACTCTGCAGTGAGTTCTTGTATCTCCTCCACTCTGAATTAATCTTCACTGATTAAGAGGCAACCAGAACTGTATATACTGTAAGTCCAGATGAAGTCTCAGAATTGCACTATGGCACACCTACTCCAAAAGCCCTGCCTTCTTCAGTTAAAAGCTTGTGCTTGGATCCTGCATCAACAGTTCTGTAAATTCATATCACGAAGCTCTGACTTTGACACGTTGTCACTTCATTCAATCTTGCAGGTTTTCATGTAATACTACACGTTTTCGGCTCACATGTCAACTTTAACTGTCAAAATGCCTGGGATGTTTTATCGCTTGGCTTAAGGAATGAGGCTTGTGCAGTTCCTTCCTCCTCACCCTATCCAACAAATAGGCTATATTGACCAGTGTAGCTGGCAACCCTGCAGTGCAGGGGGAAAGAAGATGCTCGAAGCAGACAAGGCAAATTTATAGACAGTCAGGCTGACCACCTTCCACCACCTACAGAATAACTTCTCTTCTGGTGAGGAACATCCAATACTTAAGTGGCTGTGCAGAAAACAAGCTTCCACTGAAAGACCAGTGAAGACCTACATTGTTTCCACAAAGCTGTTTATCTTTTTTCTTTATAGAAAAATTTAGATTTTGCATAAGCTCTTCATTTTTCTGTCACAAAAAGGGATAAAGTATTTAAATATCAACATACTCCTAATGGAAAGGTTTCTGATTGTCCAACTAAAACCAGTTTCTGTTCTAGCTGGTCTGACATCAGTCTGTGTCCCCATGAGCTGTTCCACTGCCCTGAGCCTTCACTCTTCTTTACGGGCATTGCCAAAGCCCTTACATGAAGCACTGCAAACCCCTTTTTAGCTGAGCTGTCAATATGTATCATGGGAGATTCAGTCTGGCAAAAGCCACTGATGCCTGAAGCACCTGTATTGTAACTGCCAAGAGGCATCCCAGTAGCTGAAGAAACAGAACAGAAACATCACATTTGGAATGTCAGAGTTCTTTCTGTCTAAAAAAGTGCTGTTATTCCTTCCAACTTTCATTTTGGGATTGTTTATTCCTAAAATATTTCAGCTTTATGCAGTGGCTAGGCACAAGCCACCAGCACCAAAAATACTGAAATATTAGTTCTTAACAGGAGGCAAAACAGTTGTTACATGCTTTCTCGTATGAGGTAATTTGCATTATATCAGTGGTTCAAACTTTTATTTAAATTTAAATTCGTGCTCTATCTTGGTCACAGGTTAAGAGATAACTGCCCTTTCAAATCCAGAATTTTCTTAACAACTGTTCTAGATTTAATGCCGCCCCCCCCCCCAAAAAAAAAACCCCACCTATGGATCATTAATCAAGATAGCACAGACAGCACTGCTATACTATTCTAAAAAGTTATACTGAAATATTTAGTTGATATTAAAAACAGAAAAACATTCAACTGAAAAACACTTACAGGCTCTGTTAAAGTTGTATCTTTTTCCAGGAACTGTACAACACAATAGGCGAGCTAGAATGTAAGTCATATGATTATTTAGTTTAAACAGACACTGTTTAGACATAGCAGCATAACTAAATATCACATCTTTAATGGAAGCACTTCAGATCAGGGCAGGGGGGAGAGGGGACGGGGACATGACCCAACCCAAAACACCCCTACACAGCCATTTTAAATTCTTCCAAGCTAAACAAAACAGCAATTAAAGCAGCAAGATATACAGGCGTGCTCTATCTTACAAAAACTTCCTGCATACCAAAAATCTTCATTTTTTTTTCATTCTAAAAGAAAATTACTTTTAAGCTTGACAGATATTTCCCTAACTCAGATTCAGTATCCAGACAGATTTTTCCTCAACATCAATTCCTGTATTAACATTACAAAGCTATCATTTTCAAATATCTATATTGCAGTAAAACAGGTGATACTTTTAGTCAAAAAAAAAGTTTTAAAACAGGTTTGCCTGAGCACACATTGCTCAAGTACTAGACATCTACAGCACACAACATTCAGTGACAAGATTACAGGTGAAAGAACGTATTACATGGCCACAAGAGATCAGGCAGCATCTGTCCAGCCGAGTATCCTGTCCCCAGCAATGGCCAACAACAAATGCTTGTGGAAGAGCATATGAAGCGGGGGAAGCATGATGTGACAAAGTCACCAGCACGCTCTCCCAGCCTCTACTGATTTCTGTCCAGGGGTCTTCTCAATCCAAAGTGTGGTATTGTATGTAATATAATTACTTACTGTTTAGTTACTTGGCACATAGTTAAGTAACTAAACAACCATACCTCTGCCCAGTACAGAAACCATACAATAATCCTATTACTAAAGTAGTTACAATCCTAGATTCCATGAAGACCGATTTTAAGAAGTCACAGTATTTTTCATCTCACAATATAAAGCAAAACCAAAAATTATTTACATGTATTACATGTACACTTCAATACTTAGGATGCTTGAACTCAAGCATTACCTTTCCTTTTTTTTTTAAAAAAAAAATCTTACCCCAAAGCAGATAATTACAATGCTGTAATTACAACAGGTCTAATTTATTTCTTTTATCCTTAGGCTAAGGATATATATGTGTAGATTCAAAAAATAATAAATGTCACACATTAATCTCATAAAAAATACATATTGTACAGTGATGCTTCATTGTTCAAAGACACAAAGACTCAAACTTAATTAAGCTTTAAGGCTTTGAATTTTAAGGGTAGGCTAAACTTGTACTATAGCAACAAAGCAACCAGGCCACTCCTGATTGCAAAGCAGATTTACTGCTGGTTTACACCTTCAGGATAATACGAAACCAGAAAAACATAGTGCTGAAAGGGCACGCGGTCCTAGTGGTTTATGAAGGGAAAGATGAGTAGCCTGGTCAGCAAACCAAATGCTACTTTCAGGTACACAGTACAGCTGAATTAATAGGACCCTTTCGGGTACCAATGAACCAGGTTAAACGTATCATAGCAAAAAACGATAGCCTGCTGTACTGATCTATCAGTGAGAATACCTTTGGCAAGTGACTGGTCCCTTTCATATCACTGACTCATCCCAGGGAGCAGCCTATTGCATAGCAATAAACCACAAATACAAGTGATTTAATTAAATTAAAACCTTACATGAGAATTAGGAACTAACTGAGCTCTTGACTTGATCCTGTTTGTAGACTATATAGCCCCCATGATTTCACTTTAATTAGGAACTCTTTTCCTCATGTCTTTAGTCTATAAGGAGCTGTATTAGTGAGCTAAGTGAACAAAACAAGTTTTTAATTAGCCACAGCAGAATTACTTGCAAGTTTGCATCAAATGTATTCAATACTCAAGTGCCATATGTCTGGAAAGGGTATACGTTATTCCTCAAATAAAATGCTGAACGTCTGTGCAAAGTATAAGAATGGAAGTCAAATGAAGAACTGCAGCATTCTGACAGCATGTCATGGATCTACATAATTTCTAGCTGATCCAGAGAGCTACTATACATTTCTGCCATTTATATCCAACACTCTCCTCCCCTTCCCATTACTGGTATGGTTTTAGAAATTAAAAAGCGCTTCTGAAATAAGTACCTGGCTGTAACTCAAGGCTCCTTCATACACAGCATTTAGGTTACGTAAAGGAAGAGGTAACAGCACAAGGTCCTGGGATTAAATGAAGCTTAAAGTGTGGCAAGACTAGCAAGCAAAAACAGCTTCCCACTTCAGCTAACATGACTTTGACTCACTGTTACATACTTTTAATATATGCTAAATATTATCTCAAAATTAACATTTAGACATAAGATCTGTAAGATCTTTAAAAAAAAGAGTGACTGAGTTTGCAAATATTTTGGAATATTGATACTATAACACATACTGCTTTAAATTTCATTAGTTTCAAATGCAAATACAAAAAACCCCACCACTTAAAAATAGGCAAAAGCTTACCTGTGCATGAAACAAAGCTAATCCCTTTGCAGTATGCATGGGAATCAGAACTTTCATAAGGAACTGTTTGTGTTCTGCTTTCAGTGGCAGTGCAAAACCATTGATAATACTGAAAACATGAATAAGCAGGATTTATTTTTATTAAAAAGTAATTTTTTCCTAGCAAGTCAAGAATTTCTTTAAATTCAAGAGATACTCCATTTCTGTTTCAGTTTCTAAACCTGATTATTTTGAAGCCATAAAATATCTCGTATATGCCCAACCTTTAAAGCGTCGGTATCATGCAAGTTTAGACTCTCAGTAGGAATACCAGAGAACCATAGTGTAAGTCAAATAATACTCATTAGACAAGCTGAAGTATTTTTATCGTGACCTCCACTAAGTAAAATCATCTACAGTAAGTCTTGCTGTCTAATTGTAAGGTTCAGACAGATGCATCAGGAAGCTGATCCATTTCACCCACAATCACTAGCAACTTGCAGAGAAAAAAAAAATAGATGTCATATAATTTTGAACTATTTTAACGGTGCAGTTTGAACATTTGTTTTGAGATTGTTGAACAACCTTTCCCTCCAAAAAGAAAGTTAAAAAATTGTCTCATTGATTCAGTAATCTTATTTTTAAGAGTTAATGAGTTGTAGTACAGACAAAAGTCCTTCAGGAGTTCCCCCCCCATTTTAGATTAAACTGAGAAAATGATGGTATCCCTTTCACTTGATTCTCATGAAAATTTGTTCCACAATAGTTTCACAATGTTTGGACTTGCAGTTAGACCAGCAATATTTATAACATTTTCTACTGTGAAATATATGTGACAGTTTTGGAAAAACAGTAAAATACTACCACAAAAAACTTCAAAGTTAAAAATTAAATCAGTGAAATAATGTCAAAAGATAACTAAAAAACCCTAACACTTACAAGGCTTTCCTGAAAAGAATTTAAGGAAAACCAGCCTGCTGAAGATTAAAGCACTTCATTTGGCATGAAGGCAAAAGTTAACATTAATTTTCTGAATCAAAGAACAAGTCATCTATCAGATACAAGATAAGCAAGAGTAGATATTCCTGACAAATAAGGACCCTTGAGAAATATTTTGCCAGTCATCTTAAAACTTGCACTTAAAAAGAACAATTTACACTCTATATCCTAATCTGATATTCACATTGTAACCTAGACAGTATTAGATTATATCAGTGACTGCACTTTATCACTTGTTACTATAATAATTCTCTCCCCCCCTCCATTCCCAAAGCAAGAAAGCTGAAGCAAACACGCACAATAACATTTCTTATTTTTTCTGTGTCAGATCAAACTTACCTTCCTAATATCTCAAGAAGTTCAGCAACACCATTGAAGTGCTCCGTTTCATATATAAACCTGTTACAAGAAAAGACAACCATCAAAAATCGAAACAAAGGATCAGATTCCAAAGAAATAACAAGTTTCAAATATTTGAAAGCCAGATTACAGACCAAAACCAGGTCTTTTGTTTCAAGAATAAATCACTGCAGACCCAGACCATGAAAGCAAGATAAAATATTTCTCAACCTAGTCACACACACACACAGCATACCTGAGGAAAATGTTGTTAATCTGTTTCCTGATGAATGCTCTTAAACCGAGGAATTTTCCATAAATTCGATGAAGAACTGTCTTTAGGAAATCGCGTTCTCGTGGGTCTTCACTATCAAAGAGCTCCAACAACTTTAAAAATTAGATTGAAATGTATTACTTTTGAAAGATTTAAATTTTGTTAGGTTACCAACCAATTTGATTCACAAGTTTAAATGGGAAAAATTTGAATCAGTTTGGATGTCAATATTATATTTTCAAAATTAGAATTTTTAATAAATCTGATGATTTTTTTAAAAGCAAACCCAGCAGCTTCATTCCCTTCAAAAGTCTGTATACGACAGACATCAAAGCCATTCCAACAACTATTACACTATCAAAATAAAAATGAAATTGTAAGGATGAGATTACCAAAACTTAGGTAAGTGGCTTACACTTGGTCTTTAAGAAATCGGAATGAATCAAATCTGTGTCAGATATTTACAATTTCTTAATTGAAATCCTGTACTGCTTGTCTCAAAGAGCTACTTGTGTCTTGAAGGTTAAGCAAAAGCATTCCTACACAAGAAATTTCACAATTAATGATTTAATATGGAGGGGGTCATAAAATAAGCATAAGAAATGTAATTATTAACTGATTCTCTGCTAAGACAGACTAAATGCCACAATAAGCTAGTAAGATTTTCCACACATCTTTTTCTCGTAGAGAGTTTTCCAATGATATAGAAAAGACCACGCTCACTTGAAGGCATCAAGAGATATTCCAATCCAATTACAGACCATTATTTTAGCTGTTTGGTTTTTTTTCCTGCATGTCCAAGTAAGAGTATATTCAGAAATGCTAACTGCGCTGAACAAGTCAGTAACTTAGCTCAAGCAGTCACTACAGTCTCCTGCTCAGTCCAGGTCCATGAGCTTACATATGTCTTACACCAAGCAGCATAAGGGACTGGAAACAGCTGTTCGGGAACTTTGTTCAGGTTCATCTCATTTTTATATTTAGAAGGAATTTCTCAGGGTCACTACTCCACTTTTTTCCCCATATATAGCTAGCTGTTCATTGCATTGTCTTTCTTGTACTCTAGAGAAAGATCAAGTGAAATGTTAGGAATTGAAACTGCAACATGGCTCTTAAGAACCACGAGTCAATTAGTAAATTGGATACCCGCAGCCAATAGTTCAGCAGCAGCTTCAGGCCTAAACTTTGTGGGCAAGTCGAATAAAACAGAGAAGGAAGAAACACCTACAAACAAGAACAGTAAAACCAAACAAGTGGAAATTAAATGCAGTCACTGAAGACGGGGAGAGAAAGCGTCCATCTATGTTTTCACTTTTCATTGCTGTACTGTGATGGCCTGCCAGCACTCACTCTTTAGATACTGAGCTTTTCCTTGACAAACAACTATTTTGACATGGTTAAAAAAAAAATTCCTCATTGACTTAACCTTGGACAAAAATTGTTAGGGTATTCTACAGCCTAATTCCTTGAGAAGTTATATTTAATACAAAGTCTCATTTCACCTTCTTGCTCACAGTTACTTTGTATGGTGAAACATGATTTTCCTATGTAGTTTCTTATGTGATTTTCCTTCTGTGGTTAACACACAATAGTAAAGAGAATGACACTATCTAGTCACAAGTTAGCAGATGTTGGAACACATTTCATGTACAATAAGTACATGAACTTCTTACAGGAAAAAAGTTTGCTCTAAGTTTTCCCATCATAAATCTATGAAAAAAACAAACATCAAAGCACTACAAAAATTTAATTAGCACATTGCTGATTTGACTGAAAGTAAGTTACAAATCATTAAAAACACAGCTTGTATTTACAAATTACAAATATCTTGCATTGCAAAGTACTGAGGTTGGTATCTGAAAGCTTTCTGAAGCTACTAATTACATATAGCCTGTGTGGTATGATGTGCTGTTTAGTGTTTGTCAGAAACCACTGTTGGAACAACTAAAATTTAACCCTGTGTCAACATGAAAGCTTTAATATTCTCCTTAGCTGTACTAGTCATTTGATAAGTTAAGCTTGAGAGATGATCTTTAAAGCTGGGGGTGGGAAAACTCTCTGCTTACCTGCTGTACAAATTTCTGGTCAATATATCGCTTAGCAATGCTAGGCTGAAAATCCGGGCTCTCCAAAAACCTCAGGAAAAATTCGTACACCAACTACAAACATTGAAATGAAAATTTTGAAGTTAGTAAGTACACCATAACACAGATTTCAGCCTCACCACCACCAAGTCACTGGTTCTATTCACATGCTTAAAAGGTACAAAAGGAAACCAAAACCTAACTCATCACTGCTTAATCACACGCCGCCTCTACTGAAATTTATTGAAAGAATTGCAGTAAGTATCGGCAACACTTTAACTCCCAGAAGAGTTAAAGCTTAATAAATAATCTACTGCAAATACCACTATGAGACAAAAACCTAGTTCTAAATACTACATATATTCACATTTCCTACTATATGAAGAATTTATCATGTAGAAATAAGTTACCAAACATTTCTTAGCACTGAGGGTAAAATTAAGTGCTCTAACAGCACGTAATTCCTTAAACAGATGCAAGAAAAATCTGTTAAGTGTTCCTGAAATTAAGTTTCAGCTGCAAACTCCAAAAATGAGAAGTCATATTAAAAAGCTGAATGAATATACAGAAACCCAGAAGTTTGGGTTAACATTAGGTTTCTATATCCTAGACATTCAATTCAAACAACAGGACCCTCTGCAGATTTATGTTCAACATCCTTTATATTTTGTAGTATATTATTTCTATTGAGTTCAATAGAACCATTTGCTATGATCCCACAATGTCCACAGATGGAAAAACAGACAGGAGATAGAGCTAGCAAGGGCCTGATGTAGCAGAGAGAGGCATGAAGAAGCCAGAGCACAAGTCCCACATTTTGGGGTTCATTCGAAGTCCAAGAGACAAAATACTGTACTTCTGCAACAATGGCAGATTTATAAAATACACACACGGCACCTCTTAACTAAGACAGAATTGAGAGGAAAGATGTCTTATGTATAGATAACATTCAGCACTGCTTATGTTTTCAACACCTATTTCTTAACTCCATGTTAGTTAAACAACTGATTAGTAATAATACTAAAATGCAATTTAGATACGTAAAGACATCACTGACTGAACTTCTAAATAAAACCCACAGGCATGTATTTCAACTGTTACCACTATGAGTGCTTATTAAACTGAGAGCCAACACCTGAGTAATTCATAATTATAATTATGAAGTTCACTTGAGAGAAATGCTTGACAATAAGTACTTTTTATCTAGAACATTTGAGATGACAGTTACTTATGCATAGCCTCAAGGAGGGTATGCTGTATCTGCAAAGCAGAAGCTCAGAAACACAAGTTCCCCTTCACTCTTTCTTCCCCTCTGACAGACTGTAACAAGAGCTTCTCATATCAGCAGTTTAAATGTATACAAATTTCATCTAACAGAACTGTATCAAAATGCAGGCTTCTCTGTACAGCCTTAATTTGTCATCTTGTGCACAAACACAATAGCACAGAGTTGCACAATAGACAACATAAGGCAGAATTTTTAAAAGTGCAGTAATAGACAATCCAATAATATAATTTTAAATATTACCATAGTCCATCCTCTGTCTTAGAAAGAGATCAACCATGGCTGTTTAATATCTTCATCAATGACAGAGAGAGTGGAATCAAGTGCACTCTCAGTAAGTTTGCACATGACACCAAACTGAGCGGTGCGGTTGACATGCTGGAGGGACAGGATGCCATC